TGGACAATATTTACATATCTTATATAAGTTTTGGGTATAAACATGTGTTCACCTCTTTGCGACAATACTTGTCTTTATTGTGGGGTTTTATCGTTCGGGTGTTAATTCAAAAAAGGAAAATTATAATCAAAATTGATAGAAATGCTACTGTACATCTATTACATCGTAATATATTCCTATAGAATTCAATCACATTTTGAACTATTCTGGGACTTTTATTAATTTGATTATCCACAATTGTTTGCGTTGTCTTGAAAATATGTGTTACAAAATCTTAGAATCATTGTGGACTTTCCGCTTAAAACTATCAATAGGTTGCAGAAATTATGAATATTTGTAGAAAAAGGAAGAAACCATCTATAGTTTAATGCCTGTTTCTGAATTTGATTGATATCTAATGCCAGTGAACAAAAGTCTAATAGGAATCTGTCCTCAATTGATTTGCATTAAGAATAAATGAAGAGCTAGTAATAAGATTGTTAGGTGGTTAAGAGAGAAAAGTTATACTCGAGTGATATAAACCTATTACATATCTGTTGTAAGAGATATCAGGTGAAAAGCTGATATTAATTTTAGTTTTGCTCTGTTACGTTTACAGAGTGCAGATCTAGAGAGATTGAGTGTGATATTTGAACAATAAATGACTAGATCAAACCTTTCTTACGATAATCCGCTAACTATTAATCTGTAGCTTTGATCTAAAGACATTATTATAAGATATTGCCTAGATTACCCCACAATATATTAAAGAAAATACCATTCAAATCTAATTAACAATTTCATAATTTAACCAGCGCGAGCAAAGATTAACCAATCGCTGATTGGTATTTGGCGTACTTCAGATATTCAGACCAATGAGAATCAAGAATGACGCGTGTTCGTACGCATCTGCATAATTTCACACGCGACGATTGCCATATATAATTAAAATCTCCGGACTTCCCATCTTCATTCCAAACTTGGATAAAATTTCTGGGTGTTAATTTGCAAGATCGTTGAAGAAGATATTGAATTCGTTGCAATAAAAATATAATATATGAAATTTGAATGATTATATGGTTTTATAAATGCTATAAGTTATTGAATGTATCAGAAAATGAGTGCCATAATAGATTCACCGACAGCAGGTAAGATCATTTCTTTTTAAAATTAATTTTTTTTTATTCAAACACAACAATCCAACAATTATGAATTTATAGTACAAAGGCATAGAATCATATATTTTTGTATGTATTAAAAAATAATGATTTCAGGTTTTCAAGAAATTTGTTAGATTTTAAGGCTTTGATTTTATTTAAATACATTTTCATGGAAACTTGGTTTATATATCAATGCTTAAATGAAATTAATTTTCATGCATATTATTTTATTTTTTTGGTCCAATGCCTCGAAAATTTGACCTTCAACCACAACTTGATCAAAATTTAGGATTTAATTTTTACTTTCAATTTTTTCATCGTTTGAGCGTCGTTTCCTTTCATCTGAGGTCTTTTATTTCCTCGTTACAAGTACTTTCAACTCATCTTCTAACATCCGACATCATTATGACGTTACCGCACGCACGTGCATTACTCCTGCACTGACACGTGTGCGATTAATTGCGCGCGTGTTTCAAACGACGTATTTAATTTTACGATAAATACTGCAAAAATTGTAACAAAAAATCGGAATATGGTTATTGTCTACAAAATTCGTCATTTTCCACCAAAGATTAAAAGAATAAAAAGAGAATAGGACATGCGGTTAGTTAATGTTGCGTTCCATTGATTTCTTGGTTAACCATTTTTACAAATTACAAACCATCTCTTCATGTCATAAAACTTACGTTTGTTTGGGCGTTCTCGCATTAACAAGAGAAATCTATTTGTGAAAATAGTTTAAAAGTTATTGCAAATTTCATCTTAGCGAGCACTTGCCGATAAATTTGAAAATCAGATGAGATGTACACGGCGTTAAGTGCGAAACATTGTAAGTAAGTTCATCACGTACAATTTTCGATTTTAAGAAACCTTGACATTATTTTTGACTGAAACAGTCTGAAAATTAACACATCGTGTACAACAATATGAAAATATCACAAGTGTTAATTCGCAATAATTTGTTATTTGAAAATTTATTAATCCAAAGAAATAAAATAGATTTACATTTTTGTTCGAAGATGTTCCATGTTGATAGTTATAGCTTTTCAATATAGAAAATGTCCAATGATTGCAGAACTACCATATTTTCAATAATGAATTTTTTTTAAAAAGTATTTATATAGTTTCCATTTATGCGAGATATTTCAAGATATTCATAAAATGAAAAAGATTTACATGTCTGCTGAAAGAATTTTTGATATCTAAGTGTCTATGCGGAGGTGTTTCGAAATATTCATTATTCTTGAAGGGGCAAAAATTGGCAAAAATAATGTTTAATAATCTAAAATTTGAAGGTCCGAAAACTTTTCAATTGATTTTGAATCGTCTGTTCATTAAATTATCTGTAACAGTATATAGTTTAGTAGCAAGAACCAGCGAAATACCAACTACCTACTAAATCAATACTAATAATTAAACAATAATCAAATAGTACACCTTTAGTCTATGATCTTACCGCTAGGTGATAACTTCTATCTTTTAGCTGTCATACAAACACTTTCTAATACCAAGGTGGCTTACTAGAAACATATTGGTGCGATCCTATTGTTTTTTTACAGCAAGTTAGGGGTGAAAGATGTCACCTAAATATTAGTACTACCAGCAGGCCTAATTAATTTATTGTTAATTAAATTTCGTATCTGTTTATTTATCTCTCTTTAGGATCCTTCTTTTGTACGATACCGATTTCTTTATAACTGTAGAGAAAGACAATAGCTTTTCCCCTCTGACGACCGAAGGAAAGATTAACTTAAAATAACAAAATTAATCATGCGAAGATTATCAACTACGAGTAAAAATCTAGCCCACTTTAGGGACCCAAAATCTTTAATTCCCAAATCTTTACGGTGTTTCGTTAATATTTTGACACGTTATCTAAACGGTAAAAGAAACCACACAATACCATATTATTAGTGAAGTGTGACTCTTGTATGATCAGGTGCACATATAAATACATATTGTACTCTTAGAAATAATTTCTAAAATTTATATTTTCATTTCAAAAGAGAAATGTAAAACAATTTCAAAACTTGAAAAGTTTATCTTATAAATTTTATACCTGTAGGCCTAAAATTTGTATTATTTCCAAAGTGTGGTCCAGAATTCGTACGTTTGAAATAGGAATTTTAGGAAAATGTATTTTGAATATAAATAGGAAATTGGACAAATTTTAGTTTAAATTTAAGTATAATAGAGCTGTTGATATTGGAATTTAGAAAAAGTAGGGATCCTCAAATCAAAATCAAATCAAAAGTTAATCTGAAAATGAGCAATATCATTATCACGATTAATAAGATTACATTCAGATATTATGTTTATTAAGTCATATTAATAATCTGCATTATAATTTGTAATCCATACAACACCTAGTATTACATTATAGCTCTTATAACATATTACGAATAAATTGAAAGAAAGTTAATTCTCTTTCGAACAAAACATAATATTGTATGCATCTACCACTTAACTAGTCCAGGGAGAGTAGAGTCTGTTTTCAAATTTTTATCCACTATTTTTTGGAAGTTTAAACTTTAATGCCCGGGATTACCGATTCGACGTCACCTAAGGCAGCAATCAACATGTGTCCGTACAGCACTTGAAATCAAACTAGGGGATTGCTGTATGATTTTTTTCCTTTTTGATTTATATTTGCACACTTTTGGTTACATTTTGATTTGACTGGGGTTTTTTCCACTGGTGAACACGATTTAGATCATAGGTAGGACACATTACTCGTCATTGACTAAAACTAAAACAATTATGATCCCAGGCAAAGTAATTTGTGCCAAGATTTCCGTAAGAAAGTTGCCTAGGTCAGTGTATGAATATATGCACCATGGATAATTAGATATATATATGAAAATATTTTTTGAGTATTTTGTTGATGATTCGTGATGTCGACGGTAAAAGATGTTTATTTTAGAAGAGACGTTTCATTGTTTTAATAGTATTTGATTTCTTGGAGAAAACCCTTCATATCAAACACATATTATGTCACAGCATATCTGATCGATTGAGGGGCCTAATCTGGTTTTCCATGTTACACTCTATTCTTTCATGTTACACCCTCTTCTTTCATGTTATACCCTCTTCTTTCATATTACACTCTCTTCTTTCATGTTACACTCTCGTCTTTCATGTTACACTCTCGTCTTTCATGTTACACTCTCGTCTTTCATGTTACACTCTCTTCTTTCATGTTACACTCTCGTCTTTCATGTTACACTCTCGTCTTTCAAGTTACACTCTCGTCTTTCATGTTACACTCTCGTCTTTCATGTTACACTCTTTCATGTTACACTCAGGTTTGACTTTTTTCACTTTGGTCTTTCGTGTTACTCTCTGGCCTTTCAATTTACACTCTGACCATCCTTGTTACTCTCTGGACTTTCATGTTACTATCTGATCTCTCATGTTACTTTCTGGTCTTACTTGTTTCACTCTGGTCTATCTTGTTCGAGCCTGACCTTTTTTGTTAAAGTTGTAGTTTTACCGATTTACAATACACATATTTTCAAATATTTATACCAGTCTTAGAGCAGAATTCGAACTAAATGCTAAAACTTATCGGACTGTCCCGGACATGGTTATAGTCAAAGGATTATTCTCTCTATTGAAATTAGTGGAAAAAATTCAAGAATGATGATACAACGAGAATTGGAAAATATGTGTACAAAATGAGAAATTAATTCATCGATATTCTTTTTTTTTATCAAGCTGGTGCATTCAACCCCCTCCCCTCAATTCAATCAAAGAATGGGGGAATTGTTTTTTTTCTCTGTGCATTTGGACATACTCCAGATCTTCAAGGGATTAAAATGAAGTTCTAGCGTTTTTATCTTATTTTTTGTAGAAGTATACAGTAATAGTAAGAAGTTAGATGCATTATGTTTAGTTTGTGGGGATAAAGCATCAGGAAAACACTATGGTGTACAGAGCTGCGATGGTTGTCGTGGATTTTTCAAGAGATCTATCAGAAGAAGTTTAGACTATGTTTGTAAAGAGAATGGTAACTGTACAGTCGATGTTGCTAGAAGAAATCAATGTCAAGCATGCAGATTTAGAAAATGTTTAGATGTTAAAATGAACAAAGATGGTAAGTAATGAACGAATGATAATAGTGAATGTTTTATGTAGTTGCATCAAAAGTAGCTACTTAAAGATGTCTGTCCTAAATAAAAAAACAATAAGCTCCATTTAAAGAATGTGAAAAGTACAAAAATCAACACAGTCGACAACTATTGCAACCAATAAAAATAATTCTTATCGCAAAGTGCTTCTTTCATAATTGTCAACATACTTTTAAAACTTTGTCCATTCCTCCAAAATCCAATATTTAATAGGAACGTCCATTTCCAGCTGTTACTATGACCGAACTCTATATCAGCTGCATGAGATGAGCTGTAATCTATTAGCTTTCTTGGTACTGTTGACTGTTTTCGTTGCCGTCTCTCTCGTTATTATTCCTGCGATATTAAGAAGTTTTTAACACTAACATCCGCTACGGAATTCGTTCAGTAAATTAGTGTAGGAGTTATCGCCATGATGTTCTGCTCTTTAACAGTACAGAAGAAACGGGCGTGGAACAGTAATCTTTCAATTTAATACAATTATCTTTATCATATCTTTCATTAAGATTCACATTTGTCTCAATTGGCTTCCACGAAGTTATTGCACTTTTAAATGATGCTACAATCGTGACCTTTTTCAATTTAAAAACTAAGTTAAATTTTAGTTATTGTGGTTAATTTCAAGTGTCATTATTAAGTAAGTTGTCTGAAGTCTGCACTTTAAGACAGACGTTTTACATTCCACAAACTTATGCAACTACAGGAAATTCTGCACCTATTTCTCTATTTTAGTATCATGTCTGACTTGTTTCCACCTTTCCAAAATTGGCTATTTTAGTCCCGGATATATGTCATATACAGACAGAACATATTATTCTCAATGTGTGACATAACTTTTTATGGGTATGCTTTGTGATCTGGTGTCATTTAATGTCGAAATACTATGAATTTGATAAACAATTTATCCAACATAATCATACATTTGTACATGCACATACGTGACCATGACATTTACAATACGGTACATCATGTTATTCGGTAGTCAAAAGTCGGGCATTTAAAATGTCATAAATGAAAATTGTTCGAGCATTGAACAAAATTAAGCATATTTATCACGTTTTAAGATGCATAATCGAATCATTTTATTTGGACAATGCCTCACTACAACACGATAGAATGGGGATGTACATAAGAGCGAAAGTTCTGGATGGTAGTAAAAAGACATGATAGTAATTGAGCTACCCCTTTAAATTGAAGAAGATAAAATGTTAAGCTGTCAATGACCATGCAACAATTAAATCTTTTTTTCTTTAAGTAGATTCTTGTCAGTTGATTTAATTCAAGACGTTTTTAAGCCACACACGGCACCAATTAATAGAGAACTAGCCAGAACTGCGTATTATTGTCAGTGACACCTATTATACGACAAGAAATCAATTATGATTTATCGTATTCTAACAGATTCTGTTGATATTTCCACTTGAGTTCAGAAATGAGCCGAAAGCCTTTTATCGCCAGTTGTTAGTTTTCCTAATTTCAGCTCAACAAAAGTCCCCGGTACTAACTTTTCAAGCGTATTTCCATTCATTGAGTGAAATGTCGATTTGCTTAAGGGTGGATTTATTTGTGTAATTTGTCTCGTTAACGGTTTTACGTTATTCAAATATGCACTCAATTAAAGCCCGACTTATTTAGTCACGTATTAGACACGAAGAGTAGAGTTATAGGAAGAGATTGATGCGCAACTTGAGCTCAGATTTCAACCGCCATATGCTATTAAGTCAAAAGTTCCCAACCTGTAGCTGTATGATTAATGAGAAATCAGAGGTATCTGGTCGATACCTGTCCTTAATTAACTTGTTTAATAATCACAACCAATCTTCCTTCAGATAAACATTACACTTTTAACATTACATGCATAATTACATAGACAAGAAAATCAAACAAAGGGGAGTCGTGATAACTCGTTCTTTTTTTTTTAAATAAAGGGTTACAACAGCTCTTCTAGTTCATTTGAATCGAGCAATCTTAATTGATAACCTTAATCTTATGCAGATTTACATTTCCAGTAATAGATTAGTAAAATAGATATAGACTAAAAGGCACACCTTACGCCACCAAGTCTGTTGCCGATATATCAACGTAAATATTCTTGATATAACACCTTTCATCCTTTAAAGGCCTAGTAGATCACGATTTTTCAAAAGGCGGTCAAACTTTTGATCGAAACTTCAACAGTTTTAATCCAGAAATCAAAATTACTATCCATCGTCATGAACAATTGTTAGGAAGTTGAAAACTTAAGTATCTCGATCTAAAACAGCCAACTTCAACACCTGTACTGACGAAGGCACGTGCCAGTGTCTCCATTTCAATACAAACAAAATCGACAAGCCGGCAAAGCGCCTTAATTTGTACGCGTGTATTCCATTACTCGTTTGATGTTGAAATGGATTGAAATGAAGTGTAAGACAATAGATAGATGTATCATATAACATATTAACATTGTCCACGTGTCCATATTTAACAATTCGGGATTATTAAAACCAAAATCACTTGATGTTCAATTGAATGAAGAGAGGTTTCCAAGTAAAATGATATGATATTGTTAAAGATTGTCTTTAGTTGTCAGAACTAAACGCATGTTCAAACTCACACTATTTCTTCTTTTCATGCACATGAATATTACCAGAATAAGATTATCGTGGGATTATTTAGAGCCCATTCATTTCAAGGGGCATAATTTTATTTTTCTATTTTGAAAGACTCAGAGAAAGGCGGGAAAAATATGAGCGGGGAGTTTCCATGTAGTTCTCCATAGTTCAATTGGATAAATTATCTAGAAAATGTTACTCCTTTCTTCAGAGACACTTCTACAGAACATTAGGCTACATTGCAAATGTAAAATACTTATTTATAGTGGTATGTTTACTTTCTAAAAGTTAAGATTATTGTTCTATTGTAGCTGTACAACACGAACGAGCTCCACGATGTTATCAGTATAAAAGAGACAGTCCAGAAAGTATTCAACTCGATGAGAAGGGGATGTATACACCATTATCAGAATATATGGATAGATCTAGGTACGTCTAGTATTGTTATTACAGGTACATGAATATGTTGCAAGTAAATGAACATTCAAATGTAGCCCAATCTCGACTTTCATGTTAGAATTTAATTTAACCTCAATGAACGGTCAATATAACCACCATCGGGTTTTTTTTTACAGATTTGAAATGGCACAGTTTCCTCAGTACAGTCCACCTCTCGGTGTACCAAGTGAATACGGATATCCAACTTCACATTTATTTCAACCACTTCATCTCCATTTGGCAGCAGGTCAAGGACGAGGGCATCTCTATCCAACACCACTCCCTACAGCAATACCGCATAGCTTTCTACACGTGACACCACCACATAATACAAGCAGCATCAATACCAGTACGTCGAGTCAAGTCACCAGTAATGTTAGTAGTAGTTCTAATGAAAGTTTATCTTCTAGTGAAGCCAGTGATCCTGATATACGACCACTCAGTGATACCAAGGATATGTCTGCAGACTCTTCAGCTGATTCCAGTACCAATAAAAACAGAACACCTAGTCCTCCACCAGTTAAAGTAGAAAGCATCAAAAGTAAGTACATGTACATCATGCTCTAATTTTACAACTACAGTACGGGACTGATAAATCCAGCCTGGTGTATCATTGCCATCAGGACAATTCGAATTCATAATGGCGGTACCTTCACAACTGACAGAAACAACCTGACCATAGAAAGAGGCCGTTACTTTAATATAAACTACGTTTTCTCTTTTCAGACTCTTCTCCTAACAGCAATAACAAACTATCATCAAACTTGACGTCAACACCAATCATCTCATCCTTTCACCAACCATTCCTTACCAAGATAACACCGACTCATCCTATTCCACCACCTTCTTTCTCATCTCCCTTTACTTCATCAACATCATTCCATCTACCTAGTTCAGTCCAAGAACATAATTCATACGATAATGCATCGTCTGAGAACGTATTCGAAACTGCTGCTCGTCTGCTGTTTATGTCTGTCAAATGGGCACGAAATATACCATCATTCTTACAACTTCCGTTTAGAGACCAAGCTATATTATTAGAAGAATCATGGAGTGAACTATTCATACTCAGTGCATCACAGTGGTCGCTTCCTTTAGATGCAGGTAAGGCGGGTTATTATCTTCGATAATAGAGAACTTTTCTGTTCAAGGGAGGTCAATCTTGTGTATTCACATACAAAAAGCATGATATCTTAATATTTTATTAATCTTTTAGTTAAGATGATTGTAAACAGCGTAAATTATGATCTTCGTATGTCAGGATAAACATGTACTATATTGTTAAGTTAACTACCTATGACGTCATTGACAATGTTGACATCGATGTCAGATCGTACTGCAATCTGTAAAGAAATACTTAATCATGTTCTCTTTTTTCTACAGCAACATTATTGATGGCAAGTGGAGTAACATCTGAAAACTCGGCAACAGAGAAAAGTGTGTACATATCTTCACAGATTAGAAGTTTTCAAGATATCATTAACAGATTTAATTCTTTACGTGTTGATGCTACAGAATATGCATGTCTTAAAGCTTTGATACTTTTTAAATCGGGTAAGGAATAATACTACTTAGTAAAGGCAAGAAGAGAAAAAAACTATGTTATTGAATATGGTATTGCATTGCGTTACCTAACATTGATCTTTGACCTATTGTAACTACATAATTTGGTAATGATCGTTGATTGTAATGTAAACAGATTATAAGTTTTATTCTCAACAACGATCAGTCTTCAGCTGGTTTTATGAAAAATATGTTCGGACACTCTTTCAATCCCCCAACACTCATCGTCGTGATTTCATTAACCCATTTTATATTGCAAAATACAAGTGCTCCATGGCACAATGTTCCCATGATGTGTTGTGTGAAGGTCTTCGGAAATTACCCAGGATGAGTTAGTTGTGTGTAGGAGTTGGGAAATTTAATTTAACAAGCATACCAATGAGTCTTTCACTTATTATGAATATTACGTACCGTATTTCAAAACGTTCAATAACATGTCAGTAATATTTTCCAAAATTAATTTTTCAGAGACAAGAGGGTTGAGAGATCCTTCTCAAACAGATACACTTCAAGATCAGGCTCAACTTATGATGCACGAATACATTCAGTCTCATCACCCTGGTAACAAGGCAAGATTTGGTAAATTGTTACTGCTACTTCCAAGTCTCAGAGCAGTGAGCGCTCGTACTATTGAAGATATCTTTTTTCGAAGAACGATTGGAAGCATTCCCATAGAACGACTTTTGTGTGACATGTTCAAATCAAGCTAAAACTGTTCCGAATCTACAAAAGAAAATAGACAGATAATTGCTATGATTTACCGGAAATCTCTTCTATCACGTAAACGATATGGCGTTTTCATTGGCAGGTGACTTCCGGTTTAAACAGGAAACAGCAGTTACTCTGCATTCCTTTAAATGTGACGAGTTCAATGACATGTTGTTTTATTTCGGAACTAGGACTGTTTTTGTTATGGTGTACACACCTAGTTAGTTTGTATACCACTTATTGTTATGTTGTGACCTTGTTAAGTTTTTATTATGGTGCTACGGATCGGGAAGTGCATGTATATATAACTTTTTTTGGAGACAATGTATGGACTTTTGAGACTAGACTGACATTTGGACTAACTTGATCTTTTGAATATGAGAAACACAATGACCTAACCCATTTACTGTTTGGTGGGATAAAAATGGTAGCTCTTAAATTCATCATGACATGAAATCTGTCCAAAACGAGATTATTGGAATATTTGTTGCTATGCTAGCTATCCTAAAAATTATCACTTGGTGTCATTTTGCACCAGGGTTTGTCTTGAGGTTTATCACCAGAGACGTATTATTAGCACAGTGTAATTTATAAGTTAATAATTATTAATTCTATTAAGTGAGTTCTATCTATATCCTTTGATTTGATGGCGTCTTGTACGTATTTTACATAACAAAGTTGCGTCTTGTGTTATTGAACTATGACATTATATTAATATTAATTCCAATTGTAAATCAAATGGGAAGTAAGCTATAAAAAGGAAATTAAATTAACTTTAGTAACGTTTAATAAACTTTCTGCTCTTATATTGCGTCATTGAGATTGGCCTGTAGGTTGTTCACATTGAACAACATGCTATCTTCATTTTATAGCTAGAATATCACAGATTCTGTAAATTATGATAAATGTAAATTCTGTAAAATTATTTACAGTGTTGACTACTTGACTGTCAGCTCTATTCATAAATTTATCTACTTGCCTTTTGCATCAGTGGATGATTGAAGAACTAATTCAATTGTATGATATTTGTGTATAGCTCGTAGTACATTCTATTCTTCATTTATTTGCTGTGACATTCATCTTGTATTGTATAGCAAAATGTCTCTCATGTACATTATCTTTGCCTTCTTCATTCTTATTCTTTCTTTCTAAAACTTCCGACTGAATTGTATATTATTGTATAATTGTATGTAATTGTATATATTGGTGTGTGTATTCTTTTGTATTGTACAGTATTAAATGTAGTATGGCTCGTTACTTTTTTTAATGTTATTAATACCAGTGATGAATTTCAACAAAATAGACCCACATATACCCATCGATTTAAAGGGATACACTCTCAAATGATTTATTAAAGCGATTTTGATAATTCTAATGGAGGCTGAAATTGTTCACTAGGTAGTCAAAGGCATTGCTCAATGAAGATGGATTTGAACCCTAGCACCTTCGTTGAGGCAAAAAGAAATGCCACAACATAAGACCCTGTGTTTCCAGGCAGGACAATACGATGAGATTGGAAAATAATGTTCAGATTCTGCTGTCATTTCTTTCGCAAGTTAAGGTTATTCTGAATTCTACATGTCTATTCCATTTATCATAATGTCACTATTTCAATTATCAAAAGGGTTGAATAACACTTGTGATTGTAATAATGTGGTCAGGCCTTTTCCTAGAATTATGTAGACAATACTTTAATGGTAGATGATATTTTATTACGATATATATTTAACGGTAAATATGAAATAACACCTCAGGAACTGTCAGTGATAAAATATTTATCCTCTTCCCGTGTATTCCACACTCGGCATAGGCGTTTCACAGAACCTTCTTTGTCGTTTCCATAAGCTAAAAACAGTGTTTGGTATACTGTAAATTTTTCACTCTTTAGACCTTTATGTAATCTTCCTCGATGAATTCTGATACGAGAATAATACTCTGGTGAAATTTCACTGAAATATTCAAAATGTGTGGGTTTAAAGATGGGTTTCCTTATTTTCATTAATGAAATTGAAAATGCTAATACTTATATGAATAGAAAGTAGGGGTGTTCTAATGACTGTAAAAATCCCAGTTTGTCTCACATGTCCAGAATTAATTCATAATTATCTAAATTAGAAGAGAATTACCAGCAGAATTCCAATGAGTTACCTATCAAGAAAGGTCAAAAAATGTTTTTTTGTTTATCCAGACTGAACATACATGGACATGATTGGTTAAAACTCTTAATTACATTCAATTTCTGAGACAAACGTACGACTGGTCTGTCCCTTTACATGATAAGCCAATTACCAATTACTAATGCCTACAGCCGCAGTTGATTTACCAATATATCAGTTTTTGCAGCAGTTTTATTAGTATCAATGATACATCAAATTATAATCAAATCAAATATTTTAGTTCTTGTTTTTTATTGAAGGCGGAATGACTTTTTATTAAATGTTCTTCAGATATGTTGAGCTAGATTTGTATTTGAAGATTTGTTTTTGAGGATATTTTTGGCAAAAATTCTACTAATCCAATAATTTGAAAACCGAATGTTTATCGAAGAATGTTCATTTTAAGTACAAATTATGATTTTTGTATACAAATGTAAATTTTCAATGACAAATGTTGAATTAAGCGTGCAAATCAAGAGATAAGAATTTAGAATTAAGAATTAAGAAATAGCAATGAAGAACATTGAATAAAAAGCCATTCCGCCTTCCATATGTTTTAACTTTCCTAATATTGATTGCACTCATTTGATAAAATTGTTAAAGTGGTAACATGTTGCATAACAAAACATTCACAATGAGAGTCACATTTAGCCTATAGATTGACATATTTACTAAATTACATAATTTATGAGGCTTGAAAAAAAAAATAATATGCCGTGTGTGTACATTCGAACTATTGACTGAATAATCCTACATTTCGGGTTGACATTATAGGACATTTTCACAATTGCAATTCGCATCGCCATTCCGACTACTTGCACATGCTAAGGATCGGTAGAAATCTCATAGAAATAAACTTTATAAAGCCACACAGAGCAGAATTTATAGAACTCGTTAGTTTTAGAAGTTTCATTCACATCCAAACCAAATTGTGTTAAACTAGTACGTTAATAAACGGTCAAATTCTTACCTTGCCATATCACTATGAAATTCAAAATTATGCCAATCAGTTATACCTTGAGGAGAAGAGCATAACACTAAATTCATCCAGTCACCCCCAATTTCTTGTTCTGCTGAAACGTAGGCCATTAGATATTTCTGATTTTTAAATTCATCCACTAAAATCTGGTCTGCCTTCCATATTTTATCGAAGACCTCTTTGGTCAAGATTTCCCGCGGTTTACTGAAGCCGAAAAACCCTACGAATATCAGTTCTTCAGGATTCCTCATTGATTCACCCACATCGCTATCTTCAGTTGCGGATTCTTGTAATAGTTGAAGAGTTTTATCTCTTCCCTTTGGTAATATAAGACGAATTTTTCTGCCATTTGGTAATTTGCTGATAATTCCTGATTTTAATTCTGTTGGCCAGTTGGAATCTTTCCTTAATTCCTGTAAAGTGGTATATAAAAAGTTCTGAACTTCCGACAAGTTTTCAAAATCAGCTTTAAATGGTAGTAGAGAGATATCGGCGCTAGCCATGATGAACTAATATTTCTAATGTGAATTGATAGTAAAGTTGTCCTACATATCATATCCTATCAGCTTTAATAAAAAAAAATTAAAGTAACTGTTAGAGTTTTCCTATTGTCACGTTTTAACCTTGACTATCGTGGTTAAAGGAAATGTATTCTGATCTATTCAAAGGGGGCAAATAGTGACGTCTAATAGAAGACTTACGCTTAGAAATAGAAAATAAGGCTGGCACATCTATAATGTTATATCTAACCACATAACACAGCCCTTTCTCCAAGCACAGTTCTCTGAGCACCCATGTTAGATTAAATTTGAACTCAACTAAAATTTATAGGCCTACTGTGGAGTGTGTCTTTAGAGAGGCGGGGTCATGCTTATCATTTCGGAACACCTGGTGTCAACTCGACTATTCTCTCAGAGAGTCCACATAAGTAACATTATGTATTTGGTACATTTATATCACGCAAGTTTGAATTCAATAGGGATAATCAAGCATGGTTGGGTAGGTAGGTAGGTATATAGGTGGATGACAAGTTAACGTTCGCTTCCAGCGGATGCTGATATCGCAAACTAATGATGAGGATTATTTTGTCCTATATATAGTGAATGCTTTCAATACGTGAACACATTGCATAAATTATATCAATTATACAGCACAATGTATAAATAATATATGCCAACCAGTTTGTTCAAAAGACACAAAGTCAGTGTGTCCTATTTTTTAACTAGAGTTCAATGGTTGTTAAAATCTACTGAATAGTTGGACACATTATTTTCCTTTTCAGGCAATATTATATATTATTAACACTCAATTTATTGTCATTTGTGACATATAATGCGATTAAATAGAAGATATTGAATAGATGTATTTAATATACATAAATACACACATTACATCATGCATATTATGTTTCTGTCTAATGTTATATTGGGAAATATATAGGCCTATTTCTTATGAAATGTGAAATGTGCCAGACAAGGTAATATACGCTCACTGGTAGCTTTGATATTGAATAAAAATAATTGGCAGTACAGTAACAATTACCAGTATGAAATATTCAACCATCAGTCATACACTTATTTTGAACTTTTTAAGGCAATACTGAATACAAGTTTGGTCAAAATCTGTCAAGAATTGGGCCTTCTAGAGTGTCTACAAGGCTAAAACTTGGACGCGTTTTTAAGAACAAGGGCAATAACTCATACTAAATATTTTTCGATTCTTCTGACTTTCGATAAGCTTCATCCTTGGTTGATAACAAACACTCACACCAAGTTCCTTCAAAATCCGTCAAGAATTTTGCCTCCTAGAGTGTTTACGTGCTACAAATTGAACGCATTTTCAAGAACTCATACTTACCATTTTTCGATTTTTTCCGATTTTCAATAGGGTTCATCCTTGGGTGATTACAAACACTCACACCAAGAACGCGTTTTCAAGAACAAGGGCAATAACTCAATGCTAATTATTTTTTTTTGATTTTCAATAGGGTTCATCCTTGGGTGATAACAAACAGTGTGTCTAGAGTGTCTACGAGCATTTCAAGAACAAGGGCAATAACTCATACTAAATATTTTTCGATTTTTCTGATTTTCAATAGGGTTTATCTTTGGGTGATCACAAACAATTATACCAAGTTTGGTCAAAACCAGTCAATTGTGCCTTCTAGATATTACGAGCAATTGTGGACGTACGTACAAATGTACGGACATGGGTGACGGCGTTGAACTATTGGAAACAATCGAGGATGGTGTTAACACATTGACAAAATCAGCACATTCAAAACAATTAACTCATGCTTCTGTGTGAGTTCCTTTGCATCAATTTACTGTTTCTATATAGTGTCAATAAATCAGCAACAATGGTGGACTTTAGCCAAAGTGTCGTTGTAATGGCAACGAACATGGCAGTTCAGTGTCGTTGGATTGACGACTATCAAGGACTAAGTCATTATAACTTTCAAACGCAGATAATTCTGGACACACATGGATTTGAAGGCTCAAATTTCGCTAAAAAAAATCCGTTTCTGAAGGTATAATTGGTCAAACGGATGGTGAATCTGTCCCTTTAAAATCCAAACAAAGCCATAGAAATAATTACCACGCAGAAGCTTTGCTTTACATTCACATGGATGGAAGACATTCAACAACATACAAGACCACCAAAGAATTCACCAGAAAACGCTTTAATAAATAACAAAACTACATAAATAAATAAATAAAAAGCTAATATATACATATCACATGTATTTTGTTTATTATTTTGAAAACAAAAAACGATTGACAAGCGAAGGATATTTTATAAGTCAGAGGCAACAAGTATTGATATATATAAATTTATAATAGTTTCTGCAATTTTATTTATCAATAAGCTTACTTAGGTAAAAGATCGGCCCGTATTTTGTACTTAGTTATTCAACTTTCTTAACGGCAAATGGTAATTTGTGACTTCAAAATACATTTTTAAAGATAAAATGATGACCAATTCAAATCTTAATTTCAGTACTAGTCTAGAAAATTTCAGTACAGAAATGACTATATGTATCAGGTATTTTGTAGACAATATATCTTGAGCCTTGGTAATCCCAAAATGTTCAGTCCCAGTTGTAAACATTAAGTAGAAATGGTGCAAATCGTGATAATTCAATTCTATTTAAATCATTTTAAAGATAAAATATTTTTTCTCTAGTCAATAATGTATCATTATTTTAAGTAAGTCAACAAATTCAACATTTCAGGAAGAATTTCAGAATCTTTCATCATTCTGAGAGATTTGAGAGAATGTCATTTGTTGACAGAACTTATTATCTTATCTGGGTTCTAATTGGTCATGTGTGTATAACATGACTTATATAATATATGGGAGTACTTACAGAAAAATATTTTTTTTAGTACAATTGGGTTCAAGTGTCAACTGTCTGGTGATATCAATCTTCACAATGTTAAGCTATTACGAACTATGTCTAATACATTCACTGCAAATAGCGACCTTTCTTAAATCACAGCAGTTTGTGAATGCAGGTTTTGGCTGTATTGTACGCAAGGGAATATGATCAATCACAGCCCTTGACAGAAGTCTGTAAAGAATGATCCATAATGTTAACCGTCTTTCTGTCGTGGGCTCTGATTGGCTGAGTACAATCCAATAAAATCGCCGCAATAAGAAACATGGATCATGAGTCAAGATGTTTGACACAGTCCCTTTTTTTGGCACAGTTCTGATAGCATGGCATTATGAAGATGCGTTATACCCAACTATGTAATTTAATACAAAGCCCAATAAAGACAATATCAATAGAGAATGTTTAATTGCTCATTGAGATAAGTATCTTAAGGTGTTCAGTGGTTCAGGTTACCAAAACTATGGTGGCAGAGGGGGTCGATTTCCAGTCCATTTTTAAATAATAGGCAGCGGAGGGCATGATACAGTGGGCATGATTCAGTGAGCAAAATATTATTCCCTTAAAATACGCCTGCAATTGCAGCTAGAATGTTCGACATCCTGGGTGTGGTTACCGTCCAGATGCACTTTGTACTTTGATTCTATGGGAATTTTGATTAGTATAGTTTAAATACAATTCCATATATCACAGTTCAAATGTCCATGGAAAAGTGTTAAAGTCATTGACTGGGTTGGTGAAATACAACCTCAAATAAAGGTAGAAGTCGTGTCCTACTATCCCTTCCAATTGATCTTGACTCTAAACACGAACTCATAGTTGATGTACTTCTTTTAAGCAATTGCGAATCATCTGAAGAAATTATGGTATATGCTGGTGAGGACCATCTCCTCTCTTTCATATCATCAGTTAATGTCTTGTGTTTTCGTAATACCACTGGCTCAGCCAAACCATCTGCCTCTTTAACCTGACTTGATTGTGTAGCTAACAGACTTTGGTTTGTATCAGCATATCTTGTCACCGATACAGTATCAGGACTTCTGGGTCTACTTCTTTCTTGAAATGGACTTAAACTACTGCTTCTGAAAATAGGAATCTTGGTAGTAATTCTAGGACTGGTATTTGAAGGTGATGGTATCCTGTCTGACTCTGGAGACCAGCTGATTTGTCTATGGTAAGAAGGCGCTGCTTTCAATCTTAAATATGAATGTGTGACTTCCTTTGAGGAATCTCCTATTTCTTCTTTTGGGATGGAACCAACTTTTTTTATCACTTTACTACTTTTACCAGATTTCGGATGCCCATTTTGTCGAGATGTAGAAGGCAGAGAAGGATTAGCTGCTGAAGCTGATGATGTCACTGGAGTCTTATTTGAAATCTGTTTTGATTTTGTATGAGACCCAGAATTAGAAATAAGTTTTTTGCTATTTGTACTGTTTTTGTTTAAACTTGTTGCCTTCTTCTTAAATTCATGATCATCTCTCAAGGATTGTATAACTGCACCAGATATGTTGGTCTGAAATATTCAAATGCAGAATGCTAGAAAATGTAGAATGTTGGTAAAATGTAGAATGCTAGTGAATGCAGAATGGTAGTAAAATGTAGAATACTAGTAAAATGCAAAATGTCAGTGAACTGCATAACATGTCAGTAAATTGCAGAATGTCATTAAAATGTAGAACATTAGTAAAATATAGAAAGCTAGTAAAATGTAGAATGTCAGTAAAATGTAGAATCTAGTTAAAGGCAGAATGCTAGTAAAAGCTAGAATGCTACATATCATAATTCAGACATTAACTGAACTATATCCTAGTGATCAATTTTAATATTTTGAAGTCAATGGGACATCTCTCTCTCTTTCCACTCTATTTGATAAAATTTGAAAGCAATTTTTTTTTTCCACTGCTTCTTTCATGTACATACCTTTCTGCTTGAAGGTAGTTTTGGTGGTCGTTTTCTAGTCATATTGTTACCACTATCAAAACAGACATACGATGCACCTAGAAGATATAGATCATAAGTAATACCAAATACAATCAGAAAAAAAGCAAAAACTGCTTCCAAAGTTAAGAATGAAACAGAATCATAAGCTGTATCTGAATTTATGACATCAAATGACTTTGTCATTACTTCTCACTATATCCCTTCAATATTTAGCGATCATTCTAATTGACTTGAGTTCATCTCATGCCACAGATAATTATTTCAGATACACAAACCTGACAGCTAGTTTTGGAAAGAGATGTTAAATTTCCCACTGTGAGGTGTATGAGGAAGAAACAGGTATAAGAAATCAAGAAACTTACACGAGAGTATTTTGTTACGAATAGTTTCAGGTAAAACAGCCCAGTCTTCTGTCAATGTAACTTGATGTATGTTGACGCGCAAAAACGTTTCAGATTTCTTCAATAAATACTTTATAAATTCATGAAGATCCTGAAAGTCAGTAAAAATAATTTAATTCAATTTGCTCTCCATTAAATTCAGTAGCAATGCTGATATTGTTAATAGAATTTTACCTTTCTAATTTCTTTTCTTTTTTTTTTTTATTTCTTAAAACCTTCACAAAACAAATATAATGTTAGAAGCCAAATTGTCTTTTCCATGTGATTCCAGTGACTCATTCTACTGTGTAATTAAGAATTAAGAAATATCTCAATTCACTATTTTTCTTTGCTGATGAAACACCATGCCTTGATATTCTGGGTGAAAATCATAGGTGTTCAATTGAGGATTACTTTTGAAAAAAATATTTCTAAAAATTACACTTTTACCTCCCTTCCAGAAGAATCTTCTAATGATGCATTATATTCATCTAGTCTTAATAAAGCTTGGTAGATTTTACAACCATTAGATGGACTAACAGATTCTATAACTTGACCAAATATATCTTCTAGTACACTGAGATTCCATGCTGCTCCCTACAAGTATTAAAAAATACTATGCTACATATGTCTGAGTAATTTTATCATCAATCACTTAATTGGTACAATAACAAGAGTGTTTCAGAAGTCAATGTCAGATGAGTTATTAGCTTCACTGTAAAAATCATGTCATGATATTTGCTGAATGTTTTTTTCAAGACTTAACAAAATTCTCAGTCCCTAATCTATCTGAAGGTGCTCTCACACCTAAGCAATGAGCAGTTGTGTGTTGTTACAAATAATGATGGTGGTCATGAATTATGGACACAACTCAAAACTCAGTTGTATGAGAGTTTCACAACCAAACACAACTGGTGATCTCTATGGTCTGTTACCCTTTCCAGAAGTACAAGAGACTACAATATAACACTTTTCTCACCTTTTCCCAACCTAGAAACTGCTTGCTTCCCATAATAGAAATGAAATTATTTGAGATGAATTGAATAGTTGCTGTCATTAGCTGTGATGTTAGATGAAGAATTGGTTCTGCCCATTTAACATGAGGTACATTACCCTGCAATTTATGACTGTCCATAATCATATCAACAACATTCTGTTCAGACTGAAATAACAATTATCATCATTTTGTTCAGACTGAAATAAAAATCAACTTTATTTTGTTCAGACTGAAATAATAATCAACCTTATTTTGTTCAGACTGAAATAATAATCAACAACTTCAAACTAAAGCTTCACACTTTTGTCCCTCTTGGTGTCAATATCAAAGTTTGACTACTTATATGAATAGGTAATGTAAAATTTTAACAGAGAAAAACTGGATATATAACCAGAGAAAACTAAATATGAACAGAGATAACTACTTACTTGAACAGAGAAAACTAGATATATGAACAGAGATAACTAGGTACATGAACAGGGAAAACTAAATATATGGACAGAGAAAACTAGATATATGAACAGAAAAACTATATATGAACAGAGAAAACTAAATATGTGAACAGCAAAAATATAAATATGTTACAATGAACACTAAATATGAGCAGATAAAACAAGATAAATGAACGTAGAAAGGGGCGCAATATATAAACCTGTATTTACTAGGTGCTGTGTCAGCTGGTAACATCAATAATGAATTAAGATTGACTTACTATCTGTGATATAAGTTGATCACAACATAATGTTAAAATATCTTCATGTTGACTAGCAAAAGATCGTGATGACCAGAATTTAGTGAAGTATCTATTGATCCATTTAATACATTTCTCTTGTAAATCTTGTAGATTATAGGTAACTGCTAGAGTAAGAGCATCACCAGCTAATGACAAACAAGATGAACAAGGCTGAAATTAAAAATAATATTTGGGTTTAAGTCATAAAGTATGGTTTTCTCGTTTCTTTTTTTTCTGGAATACATCAGCAAATAATGATCTCAAATATGATTTAATACACACATAAGAAAAACAGAAAGGAATATTTCTTCCACATTTTATTAATTAGTTTCAGATTTTGTGGATGCAAAGTAACAGCTAATAGATATTGTGTATTGTAGATGCACTACAAATTTGACAAAATGAAAACATCAATTACCTTGTGGAAAAAATGACAATAATCTTTTATAATTAGAAAGGATGAAATATGTTTCAGTCCTTTCATACCATACATATCACCTACAACTAATAAATCTGGAACGTTACATGTTTCTATAACATCTATAACACCACCATACAGATATAATAGGGCTTGTTCTACAGCTCCTGGATTTATACTGTAATGAACAAATTTAAAAACATTATAAAGTTATATCAAATTTTTCATCTTTTGCTAGCAAAATTTCAGAAAGTTATTGTGTAGGAAAATACATTAGCAGACATGAAAAAATGAATTATTTACCGTAGATGTTTGTCACATCAAGGACATAGGTCATTGAGCAAAATGCTGATTTACTCAGAAAAACTTAGTAAAGCAGATTCAAGATACTCACCCCTCTAGTTCTATAGTTTGACTATCACTTTCTCTCCATTGACCACCTAACATAGCTTCAAAATACTCACTTCTAGCAGCCAATATACATCTGTTAATATATAAAAAAATATCATATAAACTTATTGTAGCAAAACATAGCTTTAAACATAACACAATGACAAAAATGAAAGTAATTTGATACCTGCTGAAATTGCTGTCCACTGCAATAGAAAAATGTGAGTTAGTCATGTTTTCGGTTTTCAGAGTTAACTACTAAATATTATTCTTTAAGAGTCTTGATCTGGGGATTGCTGAATTTGAAATGAGCTTTTGATTTCATATATTTGGATTAACATCAAAGTAAAAAAAATTTCTCCTAAAAAATCTTCAATTTACTTTTTTTGGAAAATGAAATAAAAAACAAACTTGTGTGCTTTAAATTGCTGTCCAGCAACAACCAATGAACAATCACAACACATCTCCTGTAGGAAGGCTCGCAGTAAATCTTCACCAAGAATACTACAACATTGATGAGGTAGAGAGAGACTATATGACAGTTTGATTAAATCAGGTAAATTGGTGTTGTCTGTTACTAATGTTGACACATTGTCATCTGTTACTGATGTAGACACATTGTCATCTGTTACTGATGTAGACACATTGTCATCTGTTACTGATGTTGACACATTGTCTGCTGCTATTGATGTTGACACATTGTCAGCTGCTACTGACGTTGACACATTGTCCTTGGCTATTGATGTTGACACATTGTCCTTGGCTATTGATGTTGACACATTGTCCTTGGCTATTGATGTTGACACATTGTCCTTGGTTATTGATGTTGACCCATTGTTGTCTGTTATGGAAATATTTTCCTTTCCTTCACAAACATTCTCTCCATTCCTGCTTTCTTCATTGACAGAAATACAGATAGAAACAGGATTACAATTAAAATTTTCTACAGTATTAACGTTTTCTGTAAGATGGACATCAGAAAGATGTATTTCACCAGTATTTTGTGAGTTTGATTCTGGGGTGGGATTAAGAGTATTATTTTTATGATTTGAGTAACATGAATTATGGTTTAAGTCGTCTATTTTCTTGGTAGTTTTATGGTTTAAAGAGTCTTCTATTTCATCTATTAAACTATTTACATTTTCAGTATAGTACAATTGTCTGAAAATACAAGTTGGCAGTAAAAATGAGGTATACTGTTCATGTTTGCCAGGTGACCACACCTAATCATAATTACAATAATTCTCATTTGATGATATCCAAAATTATTAAATTAATTACAGTTTCTTTCAAAATAATTTCATACCTACTTATGAGACAATAAAATGCAGAGAATTGCTTGAATATTTCACTTTCATTTTTTTCAAATTTAGTTGCCTGTCCGTTGTCTAGGCCACATCCGAATATATCTAACATGGATGCCCATAGCTACAGACAGCTACATGGGATAATGTCAATTTTCTGTGGTCAGATAAAGCAAAGTTGTGTCACATAAGGGATGAAACTTACTTGACAAAATCTTCAAGTCTCCTGCAATTTGACCAAGGAATGTTGACTTTATTGATAGAATCATATTTGTCTGAATCTATTTTTACAATTTCAAATAATCTTTTTGCTCTGAAAAATCAAAAGTGTTATAGAGTTGTGGTCAGTGGTCACAGTTGGTAAAGCTCTGATAATAAATCTACCCCTAAGATATGGATTTGTGTTTCAGCATATGACCTTAAACAAGCAAATTAAGATTTATATACATGTAATTCATAAAAACTTATATATCCGAACAAATTTTGCACATAAAGTCAATCAGTGAAAATATGTAAGAAAAAGTCACAGTATGCAGTTTGCTATAAGATTAATTGACTTTCATTGTAACTGTAAGATATAAGGAGGTACACTAACCGTGCTTTTAAAATAAGTAGATGACTAGGAACAACATCAACACCATCAGTTATATTAACATCAGGATGTATCTCTTCTGTTAATAATCTATAACAATAGTCATAAATATAATAAAAGATGTATCTCTTCTGTTAATAATCTATAACAATAGTCATAAATATAATAAAAGATGTATCTCTTCTGTTAATAATCTATAACAATAGTCATAAATATAATAAAAGATGTATCTCTTCTGTTAATAATCTATAACAATAGTCATAAATATAATAAAAGATGTATCTCCTCTGTGAATAATCTATAACAATAGTCATAAATATAGTATTAGATGCATCTCTTCTGTGAATAATCTATAACATTAGTCATAAATATAATAAAAGATGTATCTCTTCTGTTAATAATCTATAACATTAGTCATAAATATAATAAAAAATGCATCTCCTCTTTGCATAATCTATAACAATAGTCATAAATATAATAAAAGATGTATCTCCTCTGTGAATAATCTACAACAATAGTCATAAATATAGTATTAGATGCATCTCTTCTGTTAATAATCTATAACAAAAGTCATAAATATCATAAAAGATGTATCTCTTCTGTTAATAATCTATAACAATAAATAAATATAATAAAAGATGCATCTCCTCTGTGAATAATCTATAACATTAGTCATACATATAATAAAAGATGTATCTCTTCTGTTAATAATCTATAACAATAGTCATAAATATAATAAAAGATGCATCTCCTCTGTTAATAATCTATAACAATAGTCATAAATATCATAAAAGATGCATCTCCTCTGTTAATAATCTATAACAATAGTCATAAATATAATAAAAGATGCATCTCTTCTGTTAATAATCTATAACAATAGTCATAAATATAATAAAAGATGTATCTCTTCTGTTAATAATCTATAACAATAGTCATAAATATAATAAAAGATGTATCTCCTCTGTTAATAATCTATAACAATAGTCATAATTATAATAAAAGATGCATCTCCTCTGTGAATAATCTATAACAATAGTCATAAATATCGTATAAGATGCATTTCTTCTGTAAATAATCTATAACAATAGTCATAAATATAATAAAAGATGTATCTCTTCTGTTAATAATCTATAACAATAGTCATAAATATAATAAAAGATGCATCTCCTCTGTTAATAATCTATAACAATAGTCATAATTATAATAAAAGATGCATCTCCTCTGTGAATAATCTATAACAATAGTCATAAATATCGTAAAAGATGCATTTCTTCTGTTAATAATCTATAACATTAGTCATAAATATAATAAAAGATGCATCTCCTCTGTTAATAATCTATAACAATAGTCATAAATATAATAAAAGATGCATCTCTTCTGTTAATAATCTATAACATTAGTCATAAATATAATAAAAGATGCATCTCTTCTGTTAATAATCTATAACAATAGATAAATATAATAAAAGATGCATCTCCTCTGTTAATAATCTATAACAATAGTCATAAATATAATAAAAGATGTATCTCTTCTGTTAATAATCTATAACAATAGTCATAAATATAATAAAAGATGTATCTCTTCTGTTAATAATCTATAACAATAGTCATAAATATAATAAAAGATGTATCTCTTCTGTTAATAATCTATAACAATAGTCATAAATATAATAAAAGATGTATCTCTTCTGTTAATAATCTATAACATTAGTCATAAATATAATAAAAGATGTATCTCTTCTGTTAATAATCTATAACAATAGTCATAAATATAATAAAAGATGTATCTCCTCTGTTAATAATCTATAACATTAGTCATAAATATAATAAAAGATGTATCTCTTCTGTTAATAATCTATAACATTAGTCATAAATATAATAAAAGATGTATCTCTTCTGTTAATAATCTATAACATTAGTCATAAATATAATAAAAGATATATCTCCTCTGTTGATCATCTATAACATTAGTCATAAATATAATAAAAGATGTATCTCCTCTGTTAATCATCTATAACATTAGTCATAAATATAATACAAGATGTATCTCTTCTGTAAATAATCTATAACATTAGTCATAAATATGATAAAAGATGTATCTATTCTGTTAATCATCTATAGCATTAGTCATAAATGTAATATATTAAGATGTATCTCTTCTGTAAATAATCTATAACAATAGTCATAAATATAATATAAGATGTATCTTTTCTGTTAATCATCTATAACAATAGTCATAAATATAATAAAAGGTGTACCTCTTCTGTAAATCATCTATAAGAATAGTTAAATAAAATATACCATACCATAAGATGTATCTACCCCTTTGAAAATCTATCCTTACCTAATAATATCTTCTTTCAAATTTCTTTTTAATTCCACTTTCAGTTTCTCTTTTTCTCGCTGACATTTTTGTTCAAAAGCTTCACTTAAAATAACATTTTCTTTTGGTCGAGCCATTTGGTATTATTCAATAGCCTTTTTCTGCAAAACCTTTAACACCAACAATAGCCATCTTCATTATTGTCTTCTTGTTTCATAATTCTGTTATAAAAAAGATAATTGACAAATCTAGTCAGTAGAATGCTATGTATAGAAAGAGAAGAGAAATAAAGACCAGAAAACTAATATCTTCTTGTATAAAAAATGTTGATGAAATTCTTAATAAATATAAATTTAAGTTGTTAATCTAGGTATGGAATTATGCATAAGCTTAAGTTAAGTAAATTCATATTAATTCCAGTAGCTCCCCCTGTATTATTATCTGTAAAGTGTGAAGCTGTAAGTTAGGCTTTTAGTTAAGATAAAAAAAACACATAAGGTTTTGTCTGAGAATGATTGAATTTTAGCAGAAGGATATGACCCAAAGATTATCAGGTAGGCTATATCTCACAGATACATGTACGACAACACCTGTGACCCTAGATTCATTGCTGAATCATGACTATTAAAAGAATATGAAAATGAACTCAGGATACACAGACATGGTCATATGTCCTCTTAATATAATATCATAGTGCCTAATAGATCTACTTGAATCAGCAACATGCGATAAAGATGTTATTGCATAGACCTATAATTTTCTTTTATCGGATCTATTGTATGTGATCTGTTCGATGTCATTTTTAGGGTGTCACTGTAACTGTCAATGTCAGTCACTGTACAGACATCAGTAGCCTAACTCTAAAAAGAAAAAAAAGCGTCAAAGTAAACGTGTTTCTGAATTTCTAGCACAGATTGAAACATCTGCAGCTAAAGTAAGAGAGTATAAATATTTCGGGTTATACCAAACAAGACTGCCATGCTCTGAAGAAACAAAAATCGACAAATTGTTGATAAAATGATTACCAATTTGTCTAACATTAGCATTACAAAATATAAACAAAAATAAATTAGAAGGCGAGATCATTAGGTATGTTTATCTATGTACTTCACAACGTTAAAAAGGGACTGGATATTGCTTTCTACCAAAAGTAGACTATTATTGTTCTCTGAAATAAAAGAGTTGGCCAAAGAGAGGTAATTTGAATATAAAGTAAGCCTACAGAGTACAATAATTTTCTGAATTTGAGAACAGAGCCCTTGATGAACCACCAAGAAAGGTCATAAAATAGTCTAATACTAGATATTCCATGCATGATAAAATCTTGCTTGTTGAATCAAAATCAGTAAAGGACGCCTTCTCTTTAGGACCCTTAAACTAAATTTCCAGAAAGTTTTAAGTAGTGAGCACCATGTTTTATTATACAATTACTTGCATAAGGGTTTCCAACTACATGAATAAAATAGGCCTACGACTGACGATTTCGATATAATCGAAGCAACTAATCAATAGGCGGAAACCAAAACTGCAACTACAAAGACGTACTCTCTTAATATTGCTCTCTGGTAATGTCGAAGATTCAAGTTAGGCTTTCTAGTCTGTAGGCCTTTTATGATGGGTATTAGAGACAATTATAGCTTCAAGAGTAAAAGTCATTTCTATTTTGACTTTTTTCATCTGGAATGTTATAAATACCCTAACGTAATTCGGACGGGAAATCGCAATTATTAGCGCAAAATTTGACCTTGAGAAGTTATGAGAAGAATTATCATCTTTATTATCTACATGCTTTGGAAACCGGAAGTCGGGTTTAAAGTCCACCCAGGTAATAATGTCATATAATAGGTCTTATTTGTCTTGGCTGTGAGCTCACCACCAGGACAGAAATAGAATCGTTCGTTTATGTAGACTTAAGTTTGTTTTTTTTTTTTGCAAAGAGATAAGATAGTGAGTGAATAAAATCGGCTGTGATTCAATGTTTTGAAATATTTATAGTTTAGAAATTGTGACACGTTTAACCTTGGATACTCTGAATAGTGTATGTTGAGTTCCCACTAACCCATATTGGTGACAATACAAACATTTCAGTTGATCATATTGCAATATCATGTATAATGTTTTTAAGGTATATTGACTTCTAATTATTGTCGTTTTAATAACAGGGAGAGTTTAATTTTAGGTACCGGGTATTGCGTTGGAAACGTTTCGAAATTCTTTCTTCATTTTTACAGGTTGGGTGTTTTTTTTATTATTCATTTGAAATTGCAGGCTAATCTCCCTATAAAGCCTATTATCATGCCTATCAGTTGGTATCCCCTTTAACATCAGTTTTGATTTTTGATTTCAACGAGTAAATCAAAATTCGTTTTGATTTTTAGTGTTAGTGTTTGAATACTCTGACGAGAGATTAAAAGATTTGTGACATTTATTCTACTACATGAAATGTTATGGAAACTATCTTGTTTCATTTCACAACAAATACTATCTCAATGTCATGTTAGAAAATTATCAACGTTTCACATCTCATCTCAAATTCTTAAAAAATCCCAAACGCCACACCAAGTTCCTCTCAATGCTGTCTGTTTGAAGTTGCCATTGAATGAGTTCAGGAAATATGGAACTTTGACTGGTGGAATATCATCAGAGAAGGATTGTCTGAAGATAAATCTCTATAATGAAACAAAAACATTTGC